CCACCATTACACGGTCTTGACACATCCGCGAAATATGAACGTCTGCCATCTATTTGTTAATGTGTGAAAACTATAATAACATCAAAGTTAGTAAGCGGTTCCGAGCGAAATAAAAACACCGGCCATTTGGTCCTTGTGCTTCACTGCGAATGTTTGTCATTTTTCGAAAAGACATGGTTGTTCAGTCTTTTAGAGCTTTAGAATCCATGACAAAAAGAGATCAAAGCGTGAAGCACTTTATCCATAAACGAAATGCAAAATCCGAGTGAAAATGATACGACAGTATGATGGTTATATGTTTCTTTTGTGATTTTGACAGTAATGTGAATATGCACATCTTGCATGTAAAAGGTTTTTTTTTCTAAGCAACGCAATTTTGAGAACAACAGACTACCACCAAATCTAACAGACTTTCGTTGCCTAATGCAAAAACCTTGTATATAGCCTTGCGGTGTTTAGATGCTAAGTTTGCTAGTTCGTACGAATACATATACACTTTCATAGCAATATCGCTTCTCTACAACAGTTTTTGACAATAAATCAATATCTTAATAAATGTTTAGACGTAATTACATGAACACTGGTGAAATTGTTTAAGTCGTAAACATTGATTAAAAAGACATGAACTGATTACATATAAACATAAATCAATGTGTGACCCTGTATTTTACGTAAAAGGTAAAAACAAAGATCTATGCAAGAAAAGGTTTGACCAAAATCCAGAATACTCTATGGATAACGTATTAGCCGTCGTTCAAAATGTTTAACTTCGTATTCTTATATTAAGTAAATGCTTTGTCCCTGTCAGTTGTGTGCTGACCATAGGTTTAGTCGGACTATTTTAGTTCCCTGTTTCAGTTGTAGTCGCGCTTAAAACCCGCGACATATGCATATGTAGAATGTTTTAAAACTGGCAATAGTCATGTCCAAGTCGATTTATGGAGCGGCAGCTGAGGAATCGGTCACAATGCAATGTAACAGCCAAAATGTCGGACAATGTTCGTCGCGTTTGTGGGGCTATTTCTCGATAGAAACATTACAGTATATGAAAGAAAGAGATCACAAATTGTTATGTACAGAGCAAGGGTGTGAATATCGATTCTCATGTGACATGTAAAAAAACGTAGGCAGGAGAAGCAGGGATGTAAGTTTAGGGTCGCAAAAGAGACTGACATGTTATAAGTTCATTTTCAATTTTCATGAAGACATAAGCCTTAATGCCTCCTTATTGGTTATGTTAACGTCGCTATGCACTATTTTGATAATGAATGTACAAACTCAATATATCAAACTTACATATCTGCATTTCTGAAGTTTAATTAGGGTCTTTAAATATTACTTATTAAGAGGTTGAATTTAATCATGATTTTGGCAACTTGGCTATGTTTTGCGTACATGCAATTTGAAAATAAACGTTTATAATAATTTTGAAACAATTTTCTTTTTTACTATAAATTACTCTTTCCCGGATTTAAACACACAGGAGTTCTGAGGTTCTGAGAGAAAACCGGTGTATCAAGAGAAAACTTCCATCAAACTTATTTTAAATGATTTGAAATAGTGTATACAATCGATTTATATTTTGTCTACTGTTTTACGGTAACCTAGGATTCAAATATAAATATCCAAAGGAGGCATACTAGATACAATTAAATTTTATATATTATTGTATTTGTTTAATCGACTGTTTAAAAAGCCCTATACCTCATTGATTATCCGTAAAAATGCACAAATCACATTGTTTGACAAACTAAGCATGAGTTGGATAAGGAATTTGGTAGAAACATGTTAACAATATCTACAGCAACAAGTACAAATTGTAATGAGAGGCCATAACAGATGTCCCCCAAACTTCCCCCATAGTCGCAAAGATGCATCAGAAAAGGATAGCATTGTCATAGTACACCTACAATGTACATACTAAATTTGAGTGAAATTGAGCAATTTCTAAATTTCAAACAATCAGAATCCTCTGTGTAGTTGCTATGGCAACGGAACGTATGCGATTAAACTTGCAGTCCCTTAATACCCATATATACCAATTTTCATCGAAATCAAACAATATCTAAATTGCGACCAATCAGAAGCCTCCGTGTGGTTGCTATGGTAACGAAACTTATGCAGTTGAATTTGCAGTCCCCTTATACCCCTCTATAACGATTTTCATCAAAATCGAACAATATCTGAATTTCCACCAATCAGAAGCCTTATTGTGGTTTCTATATGGTTGCTGCCGCAACGAAACCTATGCGGGTGAATTCGCAGTTGCTTAATATCCCTATATACCAATTTTCATCAAACTCGAACAATACCTAAATTTCGACCAATCATAAGCCTCCGTGTGGTTGCTATGGTAACGAAACTTATGTGGTTGTACTCTCAGTTCCCTTTTTCCCATTTTTCATAAAAATAATAAAAATTAGAAGCGCCGCCATTTGGTTGCTATGGCAACGAAACATATGCGGTTGAACTCGCAGTCCCCTTATACCCCAAGATACCAATTTTCATCAAAATCGAACAATATCTTAATTTCCACCAATCAGAAGCCTTTGTGTTGTTGCTTTGGCAACGAAACATATGCAGTTCAATTAGCAGTCCCCTTATATCCCATTATACCAATTTTCATCAAAATCGAACAATATCTTAATTTCGACCAATCAGAAGTATCCATGTGGTTGCTATGATAACGAATTAATGCGGTTTTATACAAGTTTTCATCAAAATCTAACAATATCTAAATTTCGACCAATCAGAAGCCTACGTGTGGTAGCTATGGCAACGAAACCGATGCGATTAAATTCGCAGTCCCCTAATATCACTATTTACCAATTTTCATCAAAATCGAACCAAGTTTGAAGAAAATCAATTAACATTTATTGTAGTTATTGCACGGAAACAAACGTGGCAGCTAATGACGTTTCATTATTCAAGGGGTTATAACTCCGCCAAATGGGGTCCACTGAAAGTGGTCATCGAATTTGGCCGAGCCCTTAAGGCATTTAAACTTGTGACCAGGTTTAAAGAAAATCGGTTAATATTTGTTGTAGTTATTGCACGGAAACGAAGCATGACAGACGGACAGACCCGTATTAATATCCCCCGTTTCGGTGAAAGCGGGGGATAAAAAAGTAGGTCACAATGACTCGTTTCCAATAAAGTTGATATTTGCTTTATTTAAGCTTTAATGACTTGAATATTTCTAATCTTCGTATCCGAAACATAATTGACATCCTAGGAATATTGAATAAAATGATGTGCTTAGTTTTTGTACTGAATGTATCAAAAGTATTATCCAGGACAAGAGGCCCATTGCCTGTATACATACAGGGAATAATATGTCAGTTTGTCCTGTCAACTAGCACCGGATCATTACGTTTTCCACAAAATTGAAGTAACATGAGCACAGCATCCAAACGCTCATGCTCCAGATTTGCAGTCATGATCTCGATGTAAAGGAAATTTTTATGTACGTTTCTTTCAAATCACATCACGTTTTTAATATTCCTTCTGGGTGTTAACAGGGACAGCACAAAGTACATTAATTTTTATTTTTCATTGATATCTTAATAAAGTTTATAGTCAAATTCAGGGTTGAAAGAACTTATTGTTTTTATTACATTTTATTGATGTTATGTTGTGAAAAGATATCTGAATAATTGATTTTGACTAAAAAAATATAATTTGAATGGATATTTAATTTATTGGAGCCGAACAAAGACATGTGTCATATTACTATCCCTAAAATCTCGCAATGGGTCAAACGGATTTTTCTTCAAATATAGCAGTTTAGTAGATCAGACCCCAAAAAAATGCTTATCGGCGGGGGGCCGTAAAATGGTAAAATAGGGTACTCTTCCTTTCCCTTGATCTTCCTCAATTCATTATCGATTTCCTTCCTGAAAACATGTACAATTGTAGTGTATAATGTGCAATGTAGTGATTTATAATGCTTATGATATCTTTTAATCGAGTCTTCAAGCATTGTGGCCAGTTTCAGTGACTTCGTTTAATGTCTTAGATACAAAATCATAATAGTATTCAATCAATTATATAAGCGGAGATAATGCCGGTATAAATAGTTAGAAGATGGCATTACTAGTAAGTACATGAAGATAACCGCAAAACTTGGATACGTTGACGATAATCAACTCTATTTGCTTTGTAGATTTAGCATGTCTACATATCTATACTATACGAGAATTCTTTCTATGATGAAGGCATACTTTTGTCTACTTCCTAGTTTGAGAAGTAGTGTCTGCACTGTCGTTATCACTAAATAAGATACATTTAATGGACCTTTTGCGCTAACGTTTCTTCATGTGCGTAGTAACAGTGCAATACTATGCATCTAAATATAGTTACAAATACATTTGCATCACATAATGTACTGTGTTATCCAGTGAATATACCAATGTCATAGTTTTTTGCGTATTAACCCATGTGATATGACCTATGAGCCCTCTGATTGGTTGTAAGTTTCAATTGTTTCAATTGTGTCGTCACGCCTAGGACAAGCACATGACGTCACAGACTTACGCAGTGGAGTCAAAATGGCAGCTTTTTACATTCCAAGGTTGTCGTTCCACACGAATAAAGGCCACAATCTTGATTATGTGATAAAAAGGATCTTACATTCGTTTTCATTTCATATGAAATTGATGAAACTCGTCACGAATTTTTAGACTCGTTTTATAAATTTCATATGAAATGGAAACTCATGTAAGATCCTATATATGTATATATATATACATGTATGTATAGGTCTCATAAGTTATTCCGACGGTATGCTCCAATATTGGCACTGGATCCAAACAAACAAATCTTGGTTGGAATTTCATGTTCCTGTATTGATAAAGGAGCGGGTTGCCCTGAAAATTTGATAAACACCTTTGTCTGCACTGTCGTTATTACTTATATTTGCCCATAAATGTATATATAATATATAGTTACCGCCATATCACATGTATTAGGTAGAGAAAAAATAATAGGAAAAACAAAGTGAAATTCAGAATCAGTTCATTCGAAATTTTCATTTCCAGTGAATTCATCACATGACCAACTACTTTAGTATCCCATAGAAGGCAACACAAATATATGTTAAAAACAGAATTAAACAACAATTTACATAAATTTCGTAATACTTTTTGAAGAATAAATCAAGGCATTGAAGTGAAAATGAAACAAGGATAAAAACGTAATACATTTATCCTTTTACGTACACTGCATATATTTCGAACACAACTTAAACAAGTAAAACAGTGATAAAAAATATTTAAACAATAAGTACTGACTAATCGCCAACAGGGCCCTCCTTCTAAACTATAAATTAACTTTTTAAACATGTTAATCGTTTTTCTATCAGTTAAGGCCTAAGTTAAATATGATAAATTATTTCAAATATATTAAAGAAAGTCGGACCATGGTCTAGATCACAAGAGTATTTTCCCTTGGCATTGAGTTGCCACATACATTGTACCGGGAAATTTAATGGCAAGTACAACTTTGTGCAGCGCGGTCGACTTATCAAAAAAAATATTTGATTTGCAAATAATCCCTACACAATTTGCACAATTTGCCTTAATTAAAGTTTTAACAAGGAAATAATGAAGCAGCTATATAAAAAAAAATTGCAGCTGAATGAGTACAAAACGTCATGGTAGAGTATAGGATAAAGTAACGGATCCATTTCAACATAATAATTACATATTTTCAACACGATTTTCACATATAATACATATTGTATATTATCACCATTAGGCAAACAATATAATATTTTTTACACACATGTGGTACATTATCCTTATATTATTAATAATCATACTCTTTTTCACAGGTGCCTCATGATCACGTGTCATTCGCGTGATTTGTAAGCTCACGCCTGTTTGAGATCATATTCATATTCTTTGTATATGAAAAAAGCAGCTGTACGAAGAAAATTTCATAATAAAGACTGAAATAACATACCATTAAGTGTATTATGTATAAGCCGACAGGAGTTGCTGATAAATTCTAATTTTATAGCAGTAGCAAGCGGTGTAGACAATATGCTTAGGCCACCGAAACAAATTGAAATCATATTCTATGCACATTCTTAAAATCTTTCAATTGCCCAATAACTTAAATTAACATGTACAAATTTTTGTCTACAACCTCTTCTGTCGTTATAAGCGAGTTGGCTTCATTAACAAATCGTTATTTCTGTTATGATATTGAAAAAATATTTCAACTTGGTTTTAAAAAATATCAGGGCTTAATTTTTACAATTTCCTGACAATACAATCTGACGCAATTCTCTACTAAGTCATACAAAGCATTGGTATAAAGAAAGCAACTCCTGTTCTTCCTTTCCGAATAGATTTGGAACTCTCCCCAAAAACTGAGAATTCTGCATAAACCGACCTGACGTTAAAACATCCCTAAATACCCGACCATAATGTATAGACCATGGTCTGGTTCATCTTTGTTTAACCACGACTTCACAAACATCATGTTGTCTTATTTTACCAAAGGATACTTTTTTTCTAAAAGAGTCTTTCATATGTAGGTGTGCGGAATATAAATATACAACACGGGAGTTTATAACTTGGCTAAGTACCGAGGCTTTGATGAGGTCCTGAAACCAAATTCGGCATCCGAAGTAGAATATACGAATCCCACATACCTACATAATGACTTACTCTTCTTCTCCCGCCTATTAACCAAAATTTGAACAAGCAATACATAGACAATGCAAATACAACACTCAGTTTAGCGAAATTTCTAGACAATTTTTACATAAAATAATGCCATATTTAGAAAGAGCAGAAAAAGTACGCTATTCCGCAGGTATATACCACAAGTTTAAATATCCATGCAGAACCTTCTGTGAATGTTAGTATAACCATTCTCATGTTCAAGAAGTGCTTTTGCTTACCGATGACAAGACTGCTAGTCATTCAAACAATCTTTTAATGAAATTTTAATTGTGACGTCATAATACAAATGTAAAATACCGTCATCTAATTATAAAGCCATGTTTGTACAGATCACTGAGTGCACCTATGTGGGATACACGAATATATCTTGGGACACGTGTATTGTTCTAACGCATAGTGAGGAGAAATATTGATCTATTATATTAAACTGTGTATCGTCAGAATATCAACCAAACTTCCATTGGCTATATATTAGGATGTTGAGGATCTTGCTAACGCCAGGTATAGGTTAAAGACATGTTTAATTCCATGTTTACCTCTTAAAGTGTTCAAAAGTTTCATTGCTAGCCTTTGTTTTCAAAACATTAGGTTTGTTTTAAGCTGCATCATGTTAAGGTGTCATAGGTTTTGATCACCAACCAACGTCTTCTTTACAACATACTGTCCAAATTCCGGGAGGTACGACATCCGAACATTTTCACTTAACCTCTGCCGCAACAGCGTCTGGCTTCGCAACAAGCAACATGGTCGCCGATTGATCGTCCCGTCTTTGAGTGTTGGGTTCAGTCTTGATTGAAAGATTGGGAACATGAGATGAATTGGATGACTGATGTCCTGAAAATGTTTTTGGCAGTTGCATTCCTGGGAAACTGCCAGCCGTCAGTCTTTTAAGAGTCTGCTGGCAAGAAACGATACGAGGAGTATTCAACCTAGCAGAAGGTATCACTATGTTCCTGCCAACAGCGTCTGGCTTCGCAACAAGCAACATGGTCGCTGATTGGTCGTCTCGTCTTTGAGTGTTGGGTTCAGTCTTGATTGAAGGATTGGGAACATGAGATGAATTGGATGACTGGTGTTCTGAAGATGTTTTTGACAATTGCATTCCTGGGAAACTGCGTGTCGTCAGTCTTTTAAGAGTCTGCTGGTAAGAAACGCTACGAGGAGTATTCAAACTAACCGATGGTATCACTATGTTTCTGCCTTGGACATTAATCATGTAGTATTTCTTATGATCTGGATTACCCTTTGGTAGTTGCAATACACGAAAACTGCGCATCGTCGGCCTATTTGGAGGCTGCAGGTAAAGACCGGTACGTGTAGCATCAGGCGGCAACCTCACAGGTGGCACACTGGTACGAGTAGCTGGATGTACAGCATATATCCTAGTACTAACAGGTAAAGAAGAATGACAGTCAGTAGAATGTACACCCATAGTGTTAAATCCAGTTCCAATCCTCATTTGGGGCATAGCGTGCATGCATGAAACATCATTATTTGTATTACTTCTTTTGATCCTTGAAACATAAAATTTCTCTTTAGTTGAAAGAAATCGTTGTCGGCATGTTTTCGTACATTTGGAGCCTAACACTCGTCCATTCTTCATTTGTATCTTTTCTAACACAACTCGGCAAGGAGAACGGAGACATAGATCACTTTTCATTTCTTCTGGAAATTTGATTGTATTCAGGTTCTTAGAATTTGAGTGATCAGAATGGATTTCAGAACTTGTTCCCTCTGAAACACTGACACCCTTATCTTGTTCGTGGGTGTTCACAATATCTTGAATTGACATGTTATAACTATGTGACTTAAGAGAGAAAACGGATGAGATCTTAATAGGTAGAGCCGAATCAGTCTGTAGTGCAGTGGCCATGGATATTGGTCGAGGTGAAATTTGCTCAACTGGTTGCTGCAATTGTTGTGTATAACCATATTTTTCACAAGAAACATTTGAGGAAAGCCCATTCGACGTGGCAATTCCTGCCAACATATCCGAGTTGTATTTGTGTGATTTTGTAGCTCCATCTGTCAATGACATATTTGTTTCAGGCTTACTCAATGAATGCAGATTTGTGTGGCGCGATTCAGGTAGCTTAGACGAGTGGTCTTTACTCTGACACTGTGCAGATGCCTGTTCATCATCGTCTAATGGTTCAGACTTTATCCCAAATGTTTTACCCAAAATTGCAGCAGAAAATTCGTCATTGTTTGAAGGCTCCGTTTTGATTCTAAATTCACTTCCAGACTCTGTAGAAGCACGTTGAACATCGTTTGCTGATTCAGTTGTTATCCTATTTTCACCAGCAAACAAGGAATCTGTAGATTTATTGCGTACCGAGGAGTTGAAAGAATCAGAGCACGTATTTGTAAGAAATGCCGTTGTTGTCGTCTTGGGCACCCCTTTTACTTGCTGCTTTAAGTGCTTAGAGTGACGAGTTTTCGTACGTTTTAGTTTTACATTTAAATTAGTCAGTGGACACTTCCTTGCTCTCCGGGACTTTGAAGGAGGACCCACGTCCGTCTGTATGCATGATGACATTAACTGTGTTTTCCAAGACACGTCAGTTAGATACTTAATAAGTGAGTTCTCATTGGCCAATAATGACATCTGTGAGACTGACACAGGTGAATCAATGACAGAGGTTATATCACCATCAGAAGAACACTTCGGATCTGGTACACATGTACGTGTTCCGACAGCATCTGTATCTGTCATTGCTGGCTCTTTGTCAGTAGCTGTGGACACATCAAACTTTTTATCGACCCTACAATATTTATCGACCATCTCATTAGAAACTAGCCTGTTTGGTTCATCGACAGTTACTGTTAAAACAGAACTATCTTGTTGATAAACAGAAGATGTGGACGAGTCACTTCCAGATATTTGAGCTGAGGTGTTCGGCTTCAAATACTTTAAGTCACGAGTTTTTTTACGCTTAGATTTTACTTCTAATTGAGTCAATGGATTTTCTGAACGCTTCCTTGTTCTTTGAGACATTGAGGTAGGACCCGGGTCTGTCTGTATGCATGTTGACTTTAACTGTGTTTCCGGAGACTCTGGGGTAGGACCCGGGTCTGTCTGTATGCATGTTGAATTTAACTGTGTTCCCGGAGACTCAGGGGTAGGACCCGGGTCTGTCTGTATGCATGTTGACTTTAACTGTGTTCCCAGAGACTCTGGGGTTTGACCCAGGTCTGTCTGTATGCATGTTGACTTTAACTGTGTCGCCGGAGACGCTGAAGTAGGACCCGGGTCTGTCTGTATGCATGTTGACTTTAACTGTGTTGCTGGAGACGCTGAGGTAGGACCTGGGTCTGTCTGTATGCATGTTGACTTTAACTGTGCTGCCGGAGACGCTGAGGTAGGACCCGGGTCTGTCTGTATGCATGTTGACTTTAACTGTGTTGCCCGAGACGCATCAGCTAGATACTCAACGAGCGAGTTTTCATTTTCCAACATTGACAAATGTGAGACTGACATAGGTGAACCAATGACAGAGGCTATGTCACAATCAGACGAACACTTTGAATCTGGTACACATGTATGTATTCCGACACCATCTGAATCTGCCATAATATCACTAGGAGACACTGAAACATTTTCGAATCCAACAACAGCAGATATTGAAGTGGGTGTTTTCAGAACTTCCAAGGGAGGTAAAGTGACTAATGTATTAGGTTTGGCCACAACCAATCCCAAACCTCGGGTAGCTTGTATGTTCTCTTCTGTCATAGAAGACTTCACTAGTAAGTCTTCATCAAGTACGTTAGAACCTGCTTGCACGTGACCTTCAGGCATGGTAGACAAATATTCTGCACAGTCTGAAACATTAACTTTTGGCTGGTGTCCCAGGCAGGGAAAATCACTTTGAAAGGCAATATTGTGACATTGTGAAGATGTTATGGCCTCCGTAGCAGGGGAAGAAATTGTACATGAATCTGCTTTGGCACATGTGTTATCTTTTATCAAACAGTTTTTTGACACATTGTTTTTATCAGTGGTCCTCAAATCAAGAGCTTCTGGAATTTCTCCTTGTGAAAAATTGGATGCATATACTGTGTCAGATTTATTTGATAGGATTTTCTTCACAACTATGTCGTCTTTGATGTTTTCTGAAGCATTGGCACACTGAGATCTGTCTTGTGACAAATTAGGCAAATTTTCTATCATGACCTTCAGGGACTGTCTTTTTTCTCTTTTCTTACTTGATCCTGTTATTGGTTTTACACTCAAAACACCAAACCCTTCTCTGAACATGGTGGGAGTATCAAAATTTTTTTTGGTGATTATATCATTCTGCTCTCTCAGAACCTCTCCTTTTCCATGAAGGTCCAAGCAATGACCTCCATCTTTCAAATTTGCACGGCCAAAATATTTGTTCTTTGAATTAACTGACCTGGTTCTGCTGGCTTGACAGTGTTCAGCATCAAAATTTTGAAGACGACCGTCTTCTCCAAAAATCCAGAGATCAGTTTTACTGAAAATAGGAATGATAAAAATTAATACAAATTCAAACACATATCACTAACTGATTAATGAAGTAAATATTAAATCAATGGGATTCAACTCTATTACAATGTACTGTACCATTAAACAATACTTATAGCACTGCTATAAGAAGATTATTACATATTGTGTTAATTTTATTAAGAATTTTTCTTATTATTTTTAATACAGACATTTCTATGTTTCTTTATATAATAGATAACCATGTTCATTTTCATCAATACATCATCATAATTTACATACAATATTTCAATACATCATTTGCATGTACTTACTTCATCACTAAAATTTGTTATGCACCTTTATATCAGTAGACATTATGAATTAACCAATGACAAATTTGATACCAATTAAAAAATATGTCATAGCAAGAAATATTGTCTACTTAGGATGTATTTTATCTAAAGTGATCAGCACAGCTTTGGCTATATAGGTCTTGTTTTTGGTGAATTAGCACTGGTAATATAAGACGACCTTGATGAGCCCCATTCATTGTTATCTTGCAGGGAACTAAGGTGTTTTTACTTTAAAATGATGCAAACTAGTCCAGATTCTCTTCATATGTTTTGTTGTTCAATCAAATAATGATTAATATTTTACAAGGAGAGTATTACATCCGTATCTTCAAATTTTATGCTGGCATATATTCAAAATCGTTTAAGCCCATTGGTTATATAAGACCAGTACCAACATCTTCACTCCCATCCATGTTTAACTACACATGCACTGTACCTCTTCTTCTCATTGACTCTCTAACCTAACAAAAATATTCTAGAAAATGTATTGATTAATATTTAAATTATAATCAGTTATCGTGGTGAGGTACATTTTGTTTGTATCAAAGTGACTATAATGATGTTATACTACATAACATGTAATTGAGACCATATACTTATGGGGTATATTTTTTTTTTCTTAAATCTAATCTTTTTAAAATTAGTTATACTTCCCTTAAAAATGAGATTACAAATATGAAGGCTTTATGGACTAATGCATATAATGTGATGTGTGTCTGGGTGTGCATATTGTTTGACGATTGGCTACATATACATGTATATATTGAGAGTTTTGTACATATTGTATGATTTTGGGAATTTGCATTTGGCATTTTAATTTTGTGGTAGTGAATTGGTAAATGAAAGTTGGTAAGTGTGACTTGCTCTGGAATCTCCGGGGATTAAAATCAAGGATGTTCACGAGCTGTCTTTGTCCTTGTTGAGGTACAATTGTAAATCAATAATGAACCAGCTGACTCTACTTACAAGAAATGCACTATATCCTGTAAAGGGGTTCTACACACATATGAATAATAAAGTTGACCATTGTACTTGTTGTCACAAGAGTTTGATTACTAATAGTTACAATGATGAAACCATATGTGCACTGATTTTTGTTTTATCAACATTAAAGTTCACCAAGTCCCTTCAAAGATATGGTCACCCTCAAATGTAACCCCATGGTCCAGCAAGTATTGCCCGGTCTCGCTAACAAGTGTCTGTTGTAAAACACTAGAGCACATCATATGTAGCAATATTTTAAAACATCTAGAACAACACAGCATCCTTACGTCATTACAACATGGATTTAGGAGTGGTCACTCGTGCAAGAGCCAGCTCAATATCACCATGCACGACGTTATGCAGACCTATATATATAGCTACGACCAACGAATTCAGACGGACGTGGTTATATTAGATTTCAGCAAGGCATTTGACACTGTGCCACACAGAAGATAACTATATAAACTACAAAATTATGGAATCTCTGGAACCACTCATGCCTGGATTAAATCATTCCTAACACAGAGAGAACAGAGATCGAGTAGTCATCGACGGGGAAGCTTCATCATCATGTACTGTATGTGGACTCTGGGGTCCCTCAAGGGACCGTACTGGGGCCCCTGTTATTCCTCTGTCACATTAACGACTTACCCAACTGTGTTTATTACCTCTCAAGTGTGTCTTTTCGCAGACGATTGTCTGTTATATAGGCCTATAAAGAGCATAGACGACCAGTTCAGCCTCCAACAGGACCTCAAGTCACTTGAAGCATGGGCGAAAGACTGGGGCATGAAATTTAATGCCACTAAGTGCTATCTCAAGTCCATCTCTAGGAGCAAGACACCGCACCAGTATCGTTACACACTAGACAACCACATCCTTGAACAGGTACAGGACAACGTTTATCTTGGAGTTACACTCGGTGACAGTCTAGTGGACCACACACATCAACAATTTGACTATGCTTCTGTTGTATGGGATCCTTACCAGAAAAAAGACCTAGATATATCGACCGACTAGAAGGGATACAGCGATGTGCAGCCCATGTTATGTGCAATGATTACAGCAGATACAGTAGCATATCCAAAATGTTTGAGGAACTTAAATGGCAACTGCTATCCAAACGCAGACGAGACCATGCAGCGTGTTACTTTACAAAATAGTTCACGGCCTCGTGGCCATACCCGCTGACTCGCTATTCCAGTTTAATACTAGACCATCTATTATATATAGCTAGAGCATAGCACAGTAAATCCATCAAAGTGCTTAGTTGTAACACCGACATATATAAAAACTCATTTGTACCAGCTACCATAAAAGACTGGAATGCACTACCATCGCACATAATCAATTGTAAAACTACGGAACAGTTTCAATATATTGCGACCTAAGATCAGTAGTGAGCTAATTTCCAGTACAGATACAGACTGAAGATATTTAGAATGTTGTCTGTATGTTATATAATGGATTTTGGCTGGAGTAAGTGACTGTGTAAGAATGAATATAAACAGATAAAGGGTATCGAACGGGTTATCAACTGGTCTGTGAACAATTTTGTGAAGAAAAAAAAACTAATCTGGTTCGAATATGTCCTACGAGTCTGAAAATTTCACCACGTAGGGATTTCATCATGTCTATATACAATGTATAACAGACATAACATAACCAGAACTGTCTGGTATCGATCAGTCAACACAAATCTACCAGCCTTTCTCTTGATAAGAGAATCGTTGTAAACTTCTTTAGAAAAGTGCAATTTTGTTTCACGAATTAGAATATACCAAAACCTTTACCTCATTCTTAAGTTATCTATAGCTGACCGTCAAGAAGGCATAATACCACGAGAGTCTTGTTGTGGTGTGCGATGTCTGTGGCAGCAGCCATCTTTGAAAATTTACCTTACCTCCCCTGCATTATCGTCGGTAATCCGAGTAGCCTCCCTTCGTTCCAAAGAAAAACTAGCCACGAATCGAAGGGACCGTATATTGCGACAATATATTGTCAGCGGTACACATACATATTCGCAAAGTGTTGAAATAGGTTAAGGAAGGAAGGTTATAATATCTTACAAAATATGAACTTTCTGGACTTATTTCTGTTGTAGTAGACTATTACGAATTTAACTTTTAAGATATCATTAATTTTTCAATCGAAGTAAGGATTTGAGATTTTTAAGAGACGTGGATCAATTTCAAGTTGTAAATATGATATGGACATAGAGGCAATTTTGCCAGCGTTTATCAATTAAATTTAATTTTAGACAGAAGATCATTACATATGTATCGATTTGATCAGTTGCACTGACATTTTCTTTTCTTTTTGCGCGTTATTTAGTAAAGTTATTTTCTCATCGGAGAAATCTGCATGATTTATAAAGTCTTTATAAATATAGCAAGTAGTTCTGGTTGTTTTAACCATAAAATACAAATAACTATTTCCAATACTGATATATAGAGTACAAAATTATACGGGTATGTTTTCAAATAAGACGGATTATATATATACAGTATATGTATCTAATAGATATCTAAGTTAACGTTAACTTACGGTAGAAATGTAGCGTAGCTAGCTAGGGACATGAAAAATGCGAAGGCCAGACCGGGATTATAACTAATCACCGGTGTTCTCCAGTGCTGTTCCTCCACGGAAAACAGGTGTTTACATGCAAAATAAGATATAATTCTTTATATATCTAACTCACTTAATAGCATTTTACATCTCAATTCCTCGTTTAATTAGATGTGTCTGTATTTCAAATGTGGATGATACATGTATTTGTAATTCAGCAATATTAATGGTTATACTATTTCAAATAGACGCATGTGTATTAGTTAAGCTGTTTCTTTTATTATTCCGTATTTCTCCAATTAAAATATAGATGTCTGTATTTCTCCGTAGATAAATATACATGTGTTAAATCTATCTCAAACGGATTGCCAAACAGAAGTTCGCAACTAAACATATACAACATATTTCCATCTTCAAACTAGTCTATGGGAAATCTATAACCCCCACAATGCATCGGTATGATGAAACAAGAAAGGCAACAATTTTTGAATATAAGAATCGGGTTGCATTATTGTAGAACAGTTTAATAAGTTCTATACGGACCAAATGTCAGTAACAAAGGCCAAGAGTTACTACACCTGCATGTGCTTTGCCCATGAAGTGACCATTGATGACATCTACTAAATACTTATGAGTAATACCGTGTCAAAAGACCTCGTGCAGATAGCACAAATGCTTCGTTTTTAGGATAAGGTCGTCATTTTTAGGAACAAAAATAAAACATGGGGTTAATGAATGTTGGCACCGTGCACGCGATAAACGGGCACAAAGAACAATAGTTTCTATACGAAGATTTGGCACTATATCGTCAATCCATGTTTGATTTTCAGGTGTGCACTTCCTTCTTTGTCCTACTTTTGAAATTCCCTCGGGAATCTTGGTTTGGTTATGCAAAGCCCTTGACTTTTAACTATGACGATATCTTAGTAATATACGATCGGCGTGTTTTCGAACACAATTAATGGTCCACTTTGTTAGATCCTTTTTTGTTTCTTTGTAGGTGTAGCACATATCCGCTACGATTTTCAATTTTAAAATCGCTTCTTAAAAACATTTTCTTCTCGTGTAAAATAATATCAAAGGTTCAAAGGCCCTGTAAAACGTCAGGTTGTGAGATAGTGTGCTAATGGGAATCTATAGTGGATGCTCTAGCCTCAAACGACTTGGACATATTGTCACAACTAGGGGTTCTGTTCATGGATACACGGAAAACATAGCAGTGTTTTAAAATTGTGTATTTATGCATCTTATCATTCTTGTCATGTAATTGTAAATGTATGACGGGAGAAGGCAATGATAAGATGTTATAGATTGTGCCTGATCCCTTTTCAAATTTATTTGGATATATTCAAATTAAAATGTTTAAAGTAAAGTTCATTCTATGCTATGATACTTTTCACTCTCATGCTCTGCTATTTTGTGTTTTAAACATTTCCATTTCTTTCTCGGTCGCGTTCTCGTGTTACTTTTGAATACACTCCTTTCCGGATTTTATCAACTAATTCCATGCAGATTTGAATCCGATTTGATTTTTGTGAGACCATATACATGTATAATAAAAATTCTGAAGTCAATTTTATGACGGAGCGCCGCTTGGGTCGTATTCTAGAATGAATTATTACAGCCTGAAAACGGGCTCTACCTTAACAAAGTTTTTCGCCGAACAAAAGTCTGGTAGTTGTGTACAAACAAGAGGCCCATGTGCCTTAACTAACGATATCGTGAATGACACAACGACTGAAACGCATATGAAAACAAGAGGCTCAATGAGTCTGAAGACGCTCACCTGTTTTACATGAGTGGCTTTTCTTTTAAAAAAAACTTCTAAGCATTTCATTTGAGCGAGCCACTGGCAGATTATTTTTAGTTCTTCAAGAGTACATCGAGTGTGTTAACAAATTTGACCTCTGCGGCATGGAACATTTCAGCAAGCCAGGCCATCATACATCATGACGTTAGACGACTTTGTTTAGAAGAAGTCGTATAAATGTTTCGACATTTGTGACTTTCAATTTAGGCCCAGATAAAATTCTGCTGTTTCAGAATAAATGGTTCGACTAATGGTTTAACATATTTCTTGTGACAATGAATATCATCCAAGGTCATTTCTTTTCACAAACAACATAGTTATCCATGGCAGTTAGCGACATTACTTTATTATTCCAGGTCTTTTTCTTCTTAAATGTTTTTGTGCTATAACAAATTTGATGCATGTGATCCTGAATACAGGTCAATGTCATTTCTGTTCACAAGCTATGTGGTATTCCATGCCAGCATGCTACTGGCCACATGTCATGACTTACGGTTTTTGTCTCTTCAAGTTTGTTTTTTAGATTTGTCCCTTTTGACCTTGAAGATAAGTAAAGATAATTTTGTTCTCAAGCATTGCCAGCAAGCCACTGGCGATATCTCATGACTCTATCCTCTTTGCCAGTGTCTATTTTATTTAATTGATTTAGACATTTCCAACTCCTCAACTTAAGGAAACCCAATTGTAATCACAAACGATTTGAACAAAATGTCCTGATGTGCATTTACTATTATTATTTGGATTTATGTCAGTTAAAAAATAGCCACCCTGTCCTCACCCTGCCTTTATTAACTCATTTCCAGGTCGATTTTAAATGAATGACTATAATTGTATGTGTCATTACCCTTACCATGTGCTATTATCATTATCATTTTTGTCAATTGAAATTCTGAGATTAAGTAGAAGTATTTCAACTTCTTCTGGATCTAGCAAGTTCAAGTAATAAAAGCAGATGATGAGTGATACAGGCCCTGGTTGCCTCTTGTTTTATATTTTGTGTTGGCAAGAATATCAAATACTGTACAGTATCACACACTGTGGAGTAAATACATGCCGACAGGGTTTCTCAGACACAGCAGGCTTCAGTATCAGACATCTTCTCAAATCTCAAGTTAGAATCTTAAGTTTGAACTCAGATGAGATTTAACACTAAATGTTCATCACAAAGCTGGCAAAAAAATCAAGCTAAGTTGAGTTTATATATATAATTACCAATGAACCGGTAAGCTTCTACTGAGCTCTTCAGACAAAAAAAGGAAAGCTGAGTTTGAGTTATTGAATTTAGACTCAAATTTCACTTCAGGGCATACGCCAAATGTGTTCGCAATACAAAAGTCAAGTGCGTTTAGTTTCACAGATATCTAACACCACACCTTAAGTAAGATTTTACAGACATCTTTAACCAAAAAATAGGTTTCACAGATGCAGTTTTATTAAATCTTAGAACATACACTTACAAAAATCCCTGAGATTCCATCTTCTTCCTTTACTGATGACCCAGGTATTCATGAATTAAATTCAAAATATTTCATGTTTCCCATAACACAAGCTTGTAGATAGTTGGTCAGTTATATTGATTTAGTGGTAAGCCTTTAACCCTTTCACCATTGTAGACCATAATGTACTCATCCAGATCAATGTATGGTAGAAGCTATTGAAGTTACATAGGGGCGAAAGGGTTAAGCCACATTGATAGTTAAACATTTTCAATGCAATGAGTCTGGTGCAACTTTTTGGCAAATCTATATTGAACATTAGTTCATCTAAAATACCGATATCCAGCAACGTATAACAACCTAGACCCCAATCTAACAACCTGTCTTTACAATTTAACTGAACATTGTCATGAGATAAACGTTAAACAACAACACAAACACAGTGTTTCTCATAATGAAAATGTTTAATCATTTAGAATCTAGAAATGTACATTTTTTCGCATCAGCACTGAAATTTTTTCTTCAAACTTTATATGTCTTAGTTCAACAAGCATACAACACACTGGAAATAAGTCTACAGCTGCTTGTGTTACACTGGCTGGCTAACAAGATCTGCATACTTCCCCAGTCTTGACGCCATGGACATGTCAACCGATTTGTCGGTGAAATCAACCCTCATACCTCCGATCAAAGTGGGATCAACCTGTCAAAACAAACAGAATCTCAAAATAATTACATAACGTATTAATGATATTTAGTTAATACGATAAAGATAACCGATATATAAGCAACATCATATGTTTATAACCTGGATGCCATTTTGTGCTCACTAGGTGAAATAATTTGTCTACTTCGACAGTGGTAAGAGATATTGATCAGATCTCATGGCTAAATATGTATTAATAGAAAAGTAATTGTGATGGAGATTTATAATTTTTAGTAAGTGGTGGGTTTTTTCATGAAATATTTGCTGGTTGTGGGACATTTCCATAATTGGGTAGATAGTCCTTAAATAATTATAAAACCAATGACTGCCATATCCCTAACATGCATATGCTTTTGTAACTAGTTACTATTTGATAATCCTTTAGTTACTTGTTTTATAGTCCCTGTATCACTGAAACCAAGTGAAAATCTACAGCCCAATTCAGATTTTCACTGAAACTGTTGCATTTATTTTATCAGTGACCCAGAGGGGAAAGTCATTTTGACTTTATAACAGTGCATATACCTTTCATTTGTGATGCAGGTATATTTACATGTATCAAGAAATCTTTGTAGTTTAAAAGTCATGGCAAGTTTATCGAATATTTTGCACTTGTTTCAAATAACCTTTTACCTAGATGTAAAGGTCACAGTGATCTAAATACAGTACATCTGCTCTGACACCTTCAAGTGGGTGATACAGATAAAGAAATCATTTTGTTAAGATATCATTAACCCTTTAGTTTAAACGTAAAAGCCTGGACTATTTATTAGAAGAACCAGCAAAAGAAGAACCAGTACTTGTAGTAATACATTGTCTGCCTTTAAGCGGGAAATGAAGACAAACATGTAATGACAATGGTAAACAAAACAGCAAGGACAGAATAACGACAGCATGTTTCCATAGCATGACACTCAAACATTCTTGTACTTCAACATGTGAAATATGGCATCTTTTATTACATGGTCTGATATTAGTTCAATATAGCAATGTAGTAAGATTCACCAGGTATGATAAACGATCCAAAGCTCTGTTTGACAAGAGAAAATTCATGGAGATATACTCACTTTCGTGGTTAGTACCAAACTTTCCCCCTTCTTAAGGAAGTCGGACAGAATACGTGTCAGCTCTTTCTGAGTAGAAGCATCCAAACTCTGTAAATACCAAACAGACTTTTATTATGCAATATTAACACCAACAACAGGTTGCTGTGCTTGAATAGCTTTGAAGAGTTACATATCGGTATTCCAACATATACTAATCAGATATATACATGGATCATGTATCCCAGAATTTAAATAATATCAAATACAAACTCTTGGAAAAAGTTGTGAGAAAACATTGTAATTCCTATATTGTGTATACTGTTCCAGTTAACCCTTTATATTATCAAGCGAACTTTTGTCATGTTAATTTAATGATAACGAAGGTTGTCTAGAATTTGTATTCCATCGACATGTATAAACCCGACATAAATTGAAACAAACATATCTCATAGATTTTGTGTTAAATTATTCAAACGCAGTGAAGAGAAAGTGAGCACTGACCTTAGCTACAGTTACTGTACAAGGAACCTCCCCTCGCTCAGCTGCCATGATGGTGTTGAAGGAGGTTGTAACACCAGCAAGTTTGTTAAATCGTTTATTGTCAGCCAGTGCTCCTGAAAAACAACAATCAAGTCAGGCTTGGAGCAAGTTCACACTATTTGGCCGAAATATACACATCGATAAACCTTATTGCAATGCAAGTATATGTTCTGTGAAAAACAGTGTAACACTTTGCATTATAGCCAGTCCCATATTTAAAAATTTGGGTTTTATTTTGTAAGTTTAGTTTCTATTTGCTATTATACATGCATAGAATAAGAACAATAAATGAAAGGTCTTGTTTCTTCATTTCAAATATTCCAACGTTCATGTATTTCTTTAGCTTTTGAAATGATCTATAGTACTTTCCTATTTTCTAACAGGGAAAATTATCCTCAAGTCTTAGTGAAAAATCTATTAAAGATTACAAAATTTCCGGGAGATCCTAGCTCAGAGTAGGGTACGTACAGAGGAGCATTTTTCAGAACTACATGTATAGTGGCCTGTTACTTTGATCAATGATTATATTAGATCTTCCCTATACTAAAGATCAGCAAGTAGTTATAAGGTACATGTCACTTTTGGTCTGATCTATCAAACAGTAACAAAATGTGTACCCATGTGCCTGTGTACCATGGTAAGTATATATTAAAGCTTATTTATCAGATGTTGTTTCGATTTTAGATTAGTATTCAAGAATCTATTCATCCTCAAGCTGTATTTGACATCATTTTGGAAAAGTCACCAGACACCTTAAAATAATGCCAGGTGAGTAATAAATTGGTGGAAACTTGCTTTCTTTCTCAAAAAATCAATTTTAATTCCCTATATAAATGGTTGCAACTGTGCTACAAGTACTTGTAGGAAGTGGGATGGTAGGTAACAATACTGTAAACACTGAATTTCTGAAGTAACAATATCTGTTGACTTTAAAAGTTTACAATCATACTAAGAAAGGAAAACAGGAATATAAGGCTATGTTTCTAACCACCTGAAGCATAGCAGAGCAATGATAGTTACCATGATATTTATTTTAGCATTGTACAAAGGTACAGGTGAACTTGAAACTGTCACAACGCTATAGTTTCAAATTTTTGTACTGATGACAGCCCTTTTTTTTTTTTTTTTAATCTGTAAAGCACTTTGAATAGCAGAACAAGCTGATTGTAATCTGGAGTCCTTCAATTTATTGGCTTATATATATTAAGTATCAGATGCTGCAGTAAAATAACACAGATTTCTGAATTATCACCAGCAAAATTAGACCCACCCTCCAAACAATTAAATATATGAGACCATGTCATATATGTACATACCAAATAAATTTACTGTCACTTCAGAAAACTTTTCCCTGTCTGCAACTTTTTTGAGGAGGACTGAAAAACAATAATAGAAATGTTTAGTATTAAAGCAATCTTGCTGGCCATATTAAATTGACTTCATTCTGAATGTATATATAGAAACAAAATTTTCCTCATTTGTAATAATGACTATGATTTACATATTTAGATAATACATATAAAGCATTTGGCTGGTTATTTTCTGAAGCAAGTTATAATCAATTCTATTCATGCCGTTTTACTTAAAATTCAATTGAAGAAGCATCCTGATCGGATATTTTTTGACGAACAGGTATATCAGGATATCTTAAACATTTGTATTTTTTATTTGCAAATTATTTCATAAGGCGGAATGAAATCATTATTTTCCGATTTTGGCTGTTGAAAAATTACAGTAGAAACCCATACAGTTTTATAGGCAAAACATTTTATTCTGCCAAATATTTTAACTCAATCTATATATAGTGACAGCATTCCAGACTTTTGAGACTTTAGTTGCATTGTTTTATCAATACCTTGCTTGTGTTGTCCTTTCTGTGTAGGGTCATACAGGAAGTCTCTAAATTTGATGTCTGTAGCCAATATTTTCTACAAAAAACAAAAGTGTATTTTATTTTCATTCTGAGAATTACTCGCAGTACATGTATAACATATTTTGTTGAATCAACTGTTAAATCAAATAAATTAAATGTTATCAAAATTGAGAAGCTTTACAATGATTTTATCAAAACATAGCTAGACAATTCTTTTGTATAACTGCATTTAGTGTGGTTTTTTTTTTAAAGTTGGATTGAAGATGATGTCAACCAATAGTATCTTAGATGATTTCAAGTTTAAGCATTACATTGGTACAGTACTTACAGAAAGAGAGTTGAGGTCCTTTTCTACTGCAGGAAGTGCCTTCTTTTTGGAAGCTGCAGAGAACAGGGCTGTAGCATACCTTCCTTCAATACCATACACCTGGACTGGTGGCTATCAAAACAATCAATTTAATATCTATATTTATCAAGGGTGTACAATTCCACTAACCTGACACCCAGACGAGGAGATATTTTGTCGGAGCTAGAAGTTTTCAATATCTACACAACCCACCAAAAAGTCAGTCTTTATTTCCTAGATTATGTACCTTTGGTTCTTTCGCTTTTTATACACATGTATATTAAAATACTCCTTGCTTTAAATCATGTTGATATTTATAAACACTTTGTAGTATATATCCATTGGTCACAAAGACTCACAATTAGAGGGGTAAGATCGATGGACATGTACATTGTACAGAAGTAGTTGAAAGCCTCTAGCTACAGTATATAGTAAAATTTAGCTTAATGTTGTAACCAGAAGTAATAATTTAAATCTCTACCAATCAATTTGAAATGAAATAAAAAAAATGTTTATTATTTTGTTCCATTTGTATTAAATAGATATGACTGTTTATTCATAATTCCCTTACTTGTACCTGTACAAATTATTTGATGACAATAAACTACCTTGTTACCTGTCAGGTATTAAATCCTGGTGTGTACTTACCTTTATCAGCTTGTGTTTAACAGCTGTTGAGCTAAAATGCCTCACCTGAAAAAATATTAGTTTTAGTAAAATTACCAGAATACTGAATGATCAAAGTATTCTTCTCTAATTAAAGTCTGCGTGGGACTTTTGAGTTTTGATCATGAATACAGTACATGCTAGTTAATCAGATGTTGTTAATATGCATGACTGATTGATGATTGCTTATTTATAATTAAATAAATTTAAGGAAAAATTACCCAAATGAAAAAAAAAAAAAAATATTTCTTCATTATCATCCATTATATACCAAGGTAAACAAAATCAAAGAAAAATGACTTATAATTACATTGTATATATGTATACTACAATACAATTGACAGTACCTCATGTACATGTCTGTCGTTCAGTAATGAACTGATCATAACGATTATGGAATATGTGATAGATTATCAGAACTTTTGGAAAGGGCAAATTGACAGATATTTCTATTAAATATAATTAATTGTCAGATCATCATCTGATCAATATTACAGTTGTGTGACTGCATACTGCACCAAAAATCATTGTCCACACACGGTGCGTACACATTGTCCACACACGGTGCGTGCACATTGTCCACACACGGTGCGTGCACATTGTCCACACACGGTGCGTGCACTTTGTCCACACACGGTGCGTACACTTTGTCCACACACGGTGCGTACACATTGTCCACACACGGTGCGTACACATTGTCCACACACGGTGCGTACAACTGTGCGATTTGGTAGAATTGGTTGATCAATATATATATATTACACAATGAAAAAATCCAGAACTTCAGGCTTGAATAGGATAAGGAACACTGTATATATATACATTTCTCATCATATTAATGATGATTATGTTCAATGCATGTTACGCCATATTAAAGTGAACGTTAGACAATCAAGAACAGATAAATAACATTTTGATGATTGTCCGGAGTTTTACCTGTATGCTGCATGCAGGCCTGTGCCTGACAAAGACAGCTGATATGTGATACTGTATGACTGTTATGAAAACACAACTGAATGACATTAAGTATTTGTAATTTGCATTCGTTTTGACCTAGACCTAGAGCTCCCTCACCTGGATTTTCATACCTTGACAAGTTATGTAGGTGGCCGAGAGGAGAAAACTGTGTAAACGGTCCGGGCACATTTACAAATTGGCTTTGTTTACGTGTATATGGGACCGTGTGTTATAATTTTACATGTGTTGTGCGATTTGAGACGTTTAAAAAACGCTGAAAACACCATTTCTGAATTTAAGAAAATATAGATAGAAAGATCAGCTTATATTTTTAGGATGAATATAGAAACATACTTCAAAAAGTCAAGTTTATATGTTTAAACACGAAACTGTATATATATTGTTAAGCCATTTCTCAATAAACAACAACCATGTTTGTCATATTGCAGAATGTTCCTCGATTGTGCGCAAGCAATAATTGTCCAGATTTGTCTTGGTTGGCACGTCATACACACCATGCACATTGTGTAACATTGAATTGTGCTTTATTCTACACCTGTACATTCAAATATACATGTGTATTGGAACTAGACTGGGACGATTGTCGGTGACCAGGTATACGTAGCTCAATTGGCAGAGAGTGCAGATCGACGGTCCCGGGTTCGCATCCCGCTCTGGAATTGGCTAAATTGGCAAGCTTGCAAACCCTTGTTTCAAGTACTGGGTGAATGCTTGGAAAGGGTTTACAGGAACTTTTGTAGTAAAAACTTGTGCCTTCCGGCATTCTGATTACCAGAAAAAATTGTGAATGATTTTTATTTGCCCGTATCATGCTGTATCATTTGTGAATCCTCTTTTGTGTGTATATTGTCGACATGTACAGTAAACCACAGAGCTTTCTGGAAGTGCAGCAATTTCTTCCCCAAAATAACCAGCCAATTACACCACATTTTGTTGCATATGGCCGACGTCAACTTCATGAATATGGAAAAAAAATGTGCTAGCTGTCTACGAAAAACTTAGGATTTTGGAATTGGCATGTGTTTTTGGAGGATACAAAGATAATGTCTGCGAAAGGTGAATGTACTTTAATTTACATACAAGAATTTATTCAAAGTCACATACCAGAAACATACAAACAGGTCCAGTACACCTATCTGCCGATTGAGCTATATAGCTATAAAGACCTATATATAGCTATATACACCTATACTCCCATAACATGAGAGGCCGCTGGTCGGCATGCTTTTCAATCGGATATGATTTTGCCGACTGCGACGGCGCCTGTCAAAAGTTTTTCGCCGTGTAAAACCTCTAACATTGTTGGAGTATATACACCTATAAATTATAGCTGTATATTGAGCTATATTTTCTCGGATTTCAATTTTCGTTAAATTAAAGCAAAGTCACATAAAACATTAAGGTTTTTGGTAATGGTGACCACAAAAACCACACAGTTAGATGTTTATTTTCATTTTTCATAAATGTGAAATTTCCATTTTTTTTACGTCATTATTTTTTAAAAAGTATACTTATATTGAATGTCTTTTGTTATCAACCTAATGATACAATCTTCTTTTAAAAGCGTCTTTGTATCATTTTCCTTAAAAAAGAAAATCACTTGAAAATAGCTCAAAAGACCTATTTTCAGATAGGTCAATAGAGCTATTATAGGTCTTTACAGCTATATACTGTAGCTCAATCGGCAGAGTGTACTGCACTACTGGACCTGACAAACATTAGCTCGATGGAGCTATTTTTTGCAAAAAATGGGTATGATAATAAATCAAAACAAAAACATGCGTGCAAATAAACACAGGCATACATGGATAATTTGGATATAATTTGTATAGGGTCAAAATATATGTGTAAAAAGAAAATCAGGTCCTTGTGGTTTTCTGATAACTTCTGCGGTCAAATCACAGGGGTTCATTGCAAATGTCTGAAATACACATGTTCATGTGTGCTGTGACCCAAATCAGTAAAACATTTGTGCATTAGATTTTCAGACATTTGTAACGAACCTCTGTGGTCAAATCACAGGAGCCTGATCATGAAGTTCTGTCAATAATGAATAATTCAGTAATACACAAAAAAAACTATAATATGATTATCATTTTTTTAAAGCATATTATAGTGGGTTTTTTTTGTGTATTACTGTTATTATTCATTATTGACAGACCTTCAGGCTCCTGTGGTCAAATGGAGTTCATGTCAATTTCCTTACAGTACATGTACGTCCCTGCTGTAGCCATAGTGTACAGGCAAGGTCAAATTTTTAGCAACATAATCCTTAACCATTTTGAGGACAAGACATTCAAACCATAGCAAAATTGGAAGCCAATTGGAATAGTTTGATATGGCTTGATATATTTAGGTATTTGAAAACTGAAGCAGGTAAGAAAACTAAAAAAATCTTACCCCTTGTCCAAACTTTAACGAAGCCATGTTGATAGAGGCCGGTAGACTGGATCTCGGAAGCGTTTGAAATACACTTTGAATTACTATGGTTGAAGCGTCTGAAAGATGCCGAATGTGGAAGGACATCGGAGGGACAAGCATGGGTAGAGCTTGAACTTCTATTTAATCGAGATGCCACGATACGAATTAGCTCTCATTTTAAAGGACCTCCCCAGGGTAAGAGTAGCATTTTGAAATGTAAATATAGACGTTCTGCGCACTGCAGAATTACAGAAAATAATTATTTTTAAAATCGTCTACTCGCCCTATTTTTGATACGTGCTGACATTCATATAGAACAGGACGAGTCGTCCTTTTAATAACAACATGAAATGTATGAAACAATATTTTGTACATTTTAATCACTTCAATATAATTATATTTATAAGGAGACCATACCAATACAAGTCAATACCTGAATAATTGCATGGTGTATCTTTAATATCTTGTATTGTTGAATTGGAGAGTCATTTAAAGTAATTCCTAGTCGATAAAAACAGAATAACGTCACGGTTATCTTATAAAAAAATATCATTTTTGATGAGGTGGAGATGAGTAACCAATAGTTGAATAATTCGATGCATTGACTCCCCTACTCTTTCACGAACAAACCTTAACTTAATTCGTTATCTTCACCGAAACAATCGCTGTATGTCCACTTGACTAATTATTTTTTTACTACACTGTATAGTGAACAGTAGCCTCCCCTTAATTTTGTTCCCAATTAAAGGGCAAGTGATCATGAGCTTAGGCCATTGTGCGGTTTCCGTCGTCCCTTTTCCAACCTTTAAAACGCTACTGTCCTGAGCGGCTTAGTTGATTTTAACTAAATTTGGTCTGGAGCATCCTTGGGCCAAGGGGACTCAATTTTGTATATAAACGGTGGCCCGCCGTGTGGCTCCTGGGGGCAGATGGGTGGGACCGAATAGAGGAAATAGAGGTAAACCGTTAAAATCCTTCTTTTAGTGTAGGGATAAAGGGATTTTACTCTTATTTAGTCTGAAGCATACTGGGCTCCAAGGGGACTATTTTTTATAAACGATGGGTGTGGTCGCCCCTGGGGGCAGAGGATTGCCAGGGGCTTAATAGAGGAAATTGAGATAAAACATTTAAAATCCTTCTTCTAGCAAAGGAATAAATAAATTTTATCCTAATCTAGTGTGGAGCATCCTTAGGGGAAGGGGACTCTATTTTGTATAAATGGTGGGTGTGTCATTTCAAGTACTATAAACGTATAAAGGTGAGCGATACAGGCCCTCTGGTGGGCCAGCTTCTGTTGACTGGGTAGCTCATTCATTTAAGAGAATTTTTAAACTCGGAACACTGTTTTATGAGAAGTTCTTTTTACACAACCATTAAAATGTTCTATGTGACGTTTCGATGACTAGTACGATATGTACACTGTCACCTTCATCAGACAAATGACCAGTGAAGCGTATGCGCACAAAGGTGTAAAATGTATACAAGTTGTCCATTAAATCGATGTCGATTTCGGCTACGCTGGAAACGTATGTACAATAGTTGTTATATATGTACCGAAACGACTCAATTCAGCTACGTTTTGTTAACACTTGGTCATAGATGTGCGAGAGTCTTTGAGCCCCCTCATCTCAATTTAGAACTGGTCCACTGCGGTGTATCCAGATGGCTTCCTTTATCTGCCGCTTGAACAGATTGCTCTCTCTGTCCCAAACTTTGAAAACTCGTACACATTTTACACCTTTGTGCGCATAAGCTTCTCTGGTCATTTGTCTGATAAAGGTGACAGTGTACATATCGTACTAGTCATCGAAACGTCACATAGAAAATAACTTCTCATAATCCATACTTACCAACCTGAAGAAAATGTTTAGAAATATCGGAACACGTTGTTGTATGTTTTGTTTTTGTTTTTTTGAAAACAACTATACATTTAAAAGTTTCTTTAAATTCAGAAACGTTCAACTGGGGCCGTATCACTTGCCATGTATAAGTTCCTCAGCTTAAAACAAGTCATTTAAGGGCCCAGAACATGTACAGCTCATTGGTAATTGACCTATCTAGGTGACCACTAAAGGTTATTTTGTTTTCTTTTGGTTTGCTGCTAATTAAAAAATAGTTGACATTAGCTCTTAAGTTATGGGATCTTCAAAATCAAGTTCTGTCAGTCTACCATCTCCCTGAATTGTTACAATTCTAATTCTGATATAACCTGTTCAAAGATGAGTTTAAATTCATGTATATTTTGGAATGGTCCCCATAGAACGAAGACGTCTAGTTGGTGAGGAGCATTCTGTTACTAGCATATACACTGTTAATACAGCATTTTTGTTATCAGGTTGTCAAGGACCTTGTAATGACTTGTCTCCAGGGGTATAACTTGAAGTAAATGTAACTAAAAGTATGACATTCTATTGAACGTTATCTGTTCATTTCAAAAAAGTCCTTTCACCAGAAGAATGGAATATTGACAATACAGTGTACATATATACATGTACTATAATCTAGAGACACAAATATGCTACATACAATGTACAAAAGGTGGTCAGCTCAATAGAAGGCCGCTGTTGTCTTGGACTTGAATTGCAATGTACATTTACAAGAAAAGTTCCTAACAATGTTTTTCTATCGCTGTGGATGTGTGAGAATAATCCAACACAGTTGATTAATTATAATGTTAATTTCAGCGTAATTCCACTTTATTTCTGTGTTACAGGCAGCCCTTGCCACTGCTTTAAAGAGAAGTTGTCAACATGTATGGAAAGAAGACGGTGTTGTCAGAAAGATAGAAAACTTAGGAACAAAGCCCTTGCCATATAGAATGCATGTGCATGGTTCAAAAAATGTCACTGGAAGGTAATTATGTAATTAGGTATTACCTTGTTGTTTCCCTCCAGGTCAGAGGTCAAATAAGTGCATAATATAAAGTAAAATATTTTCCAGACTGACTGTGGTCACAATTACTCAATTTTAGTATGAAAATAACCCAATTTTGTTTTGGTTTTCTGTCATGTCCTTTTATGTGTACATCCAATATATATTCACCTGTCTGGGACTAGGTTTTTGACAAGTAACCCCCCCCCCCCCCCCCCCCCTGACGGCAGAGGACGAGGTGTCAGTCCAACAGGATAAATGGGGATAATTATTTATAAGACTACTCCTCAAGTACAGTTGAAGGGATTTTAACCTAATTTAGTATGACAAATCTCTGGGCCCTGGGAAGTCAAATTTATATGAATGAATGGTTTGGCTATGATGACTGAGATTGAGGCCAAAAAGGCACTTCTTCTCTAAGGCTCTTTGTCAACTTGAACCAAACTTGGTATGGTGCAAATAGTCTAACAATTTTTGTATCGATGGGCATTTCAAAAGCAAAAACGACCACTCTTACCTCTTATTAACTGACACATTTTCATCTGATTTATTCCGAATTCTACCTTGTCATTTTTACCTTAACTTGGTATACAATAGATATATAATCCACTAACAGTCCTGAACATAACAAATGTTGTTATTTTTGGGTTGATTTAAAATTCAAGATTGGCTTAGACTATTTCTATGAATTCTATTTAAAGTTCAACCAGACTGATTTTAACCTAACAGTAGTAAAGTTTCCCTATGATGCCCTTGAATAACTAGTGTTTTTATTGTAATTGTTTGTTTCAATGAGAAGTCTTTGTGGTTCCAAATTTTAAGAAACATTCTCAATTTTCCATTCTGATAAAGATCAATGAAAGCAGGTGAGTGATACAGACCTTTAACGTATTCCCAAATGGAGAGGATGACATGCTTGCATTTACTTGACTTTTATACTTACTTAAAATCGATTCCCTCAATAGAGATTTGAGAAACTTAAATACATTTCGTGGAAAAATAGCACACGAAGAGGCGGAGGAGTCCAACGTCCTATAGGTGCTGGTTGGTACAGTAGATGTCTCGGTGGAGTAGTCTAACGTCCTATAGGTGCTGGTTGGTAGATGTCTCTGTGGAGGAGTCTAACATCCTATAGGTGCTGGTTGGTAGATGTCACGGTGGAGGAGTCCAACGTCCTACAGGTGCTGGTTGGTAGATGTCTCTGTGGAGGAGTCTAACATCCTATAGGTGCTGGTTGGTAGATGTCACGGTGGAGGAGTCCAACGTCCTACAGGTGCTGGTTGGTAGATGTC